TTTTAAAAGCCCATAGGAATGCATTGAAACCTCTTCAATGTGTTCCTGTGGGCTTAAAACTTACCTTAAAGCGAAAATCCTCCATATGGCGACCCTTTTCGCTGACCGATAAGCGAGGAATCTGGGCGAAAACACAGTGGGCGGCCATTTTTTTAAACACGGTGGCCATTTTGGAACCGCCAATCAGCTGTTGGAAAATAATCGCTGTGCAATGATCGGTAAGCGAAACAGGGTACCGATCATCGCAAAGCGATTTTTTCCTATTTAAAATGTCACAACGTGATCGCAAAAATGATCGCAAAAACATCATCGCTATGCGGATTCATCGTTAAACAGGGCGCCCGTTAAGCGAGGCACCACTGTATCTTGGCTTGCTGAATCAGAGTATGATTGCCCAGACTGGGCTAATGATGAGCCAGGTCAAGGAAAGCTTAGTCCAAAAACTGCTATTTGTCCAGCCATTATCAACGGTGGTAGCACCTGTCTGTGTAATGGAAGGTACTTTATTACATCAAGAGTTTTGCAGAATCAGGGCCACCAAATACAGCAATGTTTTTTCCTTCAGCCACCGGCCACTCAGAAGCTCATAGGGACGGAGGGCAAGAGAGAAAGCTCAGCTCTGCTTTTCCTCCTTCCTTCCTTCCTTTTTTAACCATGCCTTTCTCCTTAAAAAGGACTCAATGCAGCTTACATAATGAAAAGACAATATTTAAAGCTAAAACCAGTAAGTATACAAATACTAGAAAAGAACCAAACAGGCATTACAATAAAGGATGGTAAACAAAAGCAACACCAAAAACATATTCAAAACAGTAAGGCACAAAACCATCCATTTAAAAACCACTCTCAGGCAGCCATTCACTCAAGGAAAGCTTGCCTGAAGAGAAACATCTGTGTCCGCTTGTGGAAGGAGAGCAAAGATGGGGCCTGCCTGGCCTCCAGTGGGAGGGAGTTCCAGAGTCTAAAGAAGCAGCCACAGAGAAGGCCCTCTCCTGGGTCCCCACGAAACACACCTATAAGGTGGTGGGACTGAGAGAAAGGCCTGATTACCTCAACACCTAGGCAGACTCATAAAAGGAAACACAATTCATGAGATAGCACAAACCCAAGCTGTTTCATTTACGAAGGCGCTCTCTTGTTGTTGATGCTTAGTCCATCTTGGCCAGACTTGCCAGATCTGATGGGAAACTATTCTCCAGGGTTTCAGGAGAGCTGGTTTCCTATCCCTGGAATAGAGCACCCGTGGTTTTTAATTCACCCTGGGAAGCCCAGCTCTAAAGCCCTTTCTGCAGCCTGACCTCCTTCTTCCTCCAGAAAAAAAAGGCTGTGATTAAAAATAAAGGCCCAAACCTGGAGATAATTTGGGAGTCAAGGAGCTGCAGAGACGAATTCGCCAATGAAGCAGCCCGCTTGGCGCTTGCTGCTATCTGAAGAGCCCTCGTGTTTTGGCTTGTCCCAGAAATGAGCTCTCTGTGAATTGCATAAAGGGAGAGTGGATCTAATTTTGACACAAGAGATTAAGCGGGATTCTGAGGAAGAAGAACCGAGGGTTTGTTAAGGGGTCGAAGAAAGCTTTTATGGCATGTTTTCTTTTTTTTCTTGTAGCCATAGAGACCTAAAAAGAGGAAAATGCCAGCCAAGTTGGTCAGCTGGAAATGTAGGATAAGTATTCCCTCAATGCAGGAGTAAGGATTCAAGAGGCAACAAGTTAACACCAACTGGTTTGTCCTTTCCCCAACCCACAATTTACACAATCCTTAAATTTATTTAACTTTACATTTATCTCTGGCTTTTCTTCAATGTACTCAAGCCGCAGGCTGTCCCTTTTTCCTTTTTTATTCTCTCACACACAACAACCATATCAAGTTGAAAAACGGTGTTTCCGTGGATGGGTTAAGAATATGGATCTCCCAAGTAATGGTCCAGTACTCTAACTACTACACCACACGCTCCCTTGTACCCCTTTGGGCAACTTCTGTTAATTTCTCCAATGCCATCCTGCCCCCCAATAGATTTAGAGTGCAGGACATTTTCTTCACTACGTATGAACTGAGTCAGGTCAGAATGAAAACAGCTTGGAAATATAGTGGTGCCTCGCAAGACGATAATCCGTTCCACTGAAATCGCTGCTTAGCGAAATCATTGTCTATCGAAAAACATTTCCCCATTGGAATGCATTGAAACCTGTTTAATGCGTTCCAATGGGGAAGAATCGTCGTTGTCTAGCAAAGATCGGCCATAGGAAAGCCGCTTTGCGAACCGCCAATCAACTGTTTAAATCGCTGTCTTGCGAAGCTTAGGTCCCGAAAACACCTGTTTGCGAACGTGGAGGGAGCTGTCAAAATTGTCGTCTAGCGAAAATCAGTTTGCGAAGCAGGGACCAAACATTGTCCAGCGAAATTCCCCCATAGGAATCACGGTTTTGCGAATCACTATAACAATCGCAAAAAGCCAATCTCTAGCGAAAAAACTGTCACGCGGGCTAACTATCTAGTGAGGCACCACTGTAATTCCAGTTTTGGAGACACTAAGAATCTTCTCCAGGTTTGAGTCTACATCTTAAACATCTGCAAATTTGAGAGTTTTGGGACTCCCAGAATTTCCCAGGCTATACAGCCAATAACCATACTGCCCAGAGAATACTGAGATTTGTAGTGGGGAAAAAAAAGAAGGGAGCACACCTCTAAAAAGGAGCAATCTAAGGTTCTGACCCTTCTCCAAAATAGATTCAACACCTTGGATAAATCCTATACAGTGGTGCCTCGCATGACGAAATTTAATTCGTTCCGTGAAAATCGCTGTCGAACGAAAACGTCATGCGATATTAAAAAACCCATAGAAATGCATTAAAACCCAATTTATGCGTTCCTATGGGCTTAAAACTCACCATCCAGTGAAGATCCTCTAGACCGTCTACTCACATGTCCCACTGTGGCAAAGGTCCTGCTTGCCCTGCCAATGTTGCCTGGAGCTCTTCTGTCTTCCTGCTTGGCTGACTTGGAGTTAAAAATACAGTACTCTGAAAAAATTGCCATCAAGACCCACAGTTGATGTTATTTCCATCTCTAGTCCAAATTAATTCAGAGTTAATTCTGAAGAAGTGAAATTTTGAGTTTTTGTTTTGTGTATTGGTATATCTCTGCTGCTCAGCTCTCAAATAATATTTTATGGGTTGTAGCTCCTAATATAACATAAAGCTTGCCTTTCTTTTGTTACACTTTATAGTAATTTATATATAATGTGCCTTTACAAGTGTCTGCATTTTTACAGTTTGGGTTACTGAAAATATCTAAGTTAGTCATAATAAAAGAAGTGTAATAGCCACTCTTCCTAAATCTGAATATCCCATTCATATCCAGCCTGTACACTCTCTATTTCTTTCTATCACAGTCAAAGCGATCTTTGGCTACTACTCATTGCATTACTGTATTTCACTTTACAGCAGATAATTGTATAGCCTGCCTGTGACTTTTAATGTAAGATATTTATTTATTTACTTAATTTATTTATATCCTGCCCATCTAGACTGAAGTCTACGCTGGGCAGCTAACAACAGGTTCACAACAAATTCATAAAGTATACGGACACCTATGGTTGTTGTGGGTTTTTCGGGCTCTTTAGCCATGTTCTGAAGGTTGTTCTTCCTAACCTTTCGCCAGTCTCTGTGGCCGGCATCTTCAGAGGACACACTTCTTTCTTATTGCTTTTTATAGCTCTTATAAAGTGGACTTTAGCTTATTATGAATGCTACTTTGATCTTTACATTTTTCAGCTTATTAGAACCAGCCTAATTTTTATCTGATACAATAATGTTTAAGGTGACAGTTTTTGGGGGACTTGGAGATGCACGTTAAGACATATGCAGTAGGCGTAGAAATAATCAAGGTAATTGTGTGCCGTCAAGTTATTTCCCTCTTGGGGCAACTATCCGGGGCTTGTCAAAGTGTAAAGTGCATGGGAATGTTTTAACATTCCCTCCTTCTGATGGCACTCTGGGAATGTTCAGCCTGATTGATGCTACACAAATGGTGGGGAATATAACCCTATCAGCCACACACTGAATGATCTCAGCTGGCTCCTTCCAGGAGGTGTATTGCGGGTTTGAACTCTTGGTTTCTAGCTGATTGATTTATAGTGGGCTCTATGTTGGAATGACAGTACCAGACAACTGCTCCTTTAAAAAAAATGGAGAGTTGGCTGCTGCATCTGTTTCTTCGTCCTCACATCCTTGATTTTAAGTGAAACCTTTATGAGTTTCTAAAAGAGTTTACTTAGTACACCACACCAGGTCAATACCTTATTTCTGTCTTTAAAGTGCAGACTTTTCAAACATTGGAGATATCAGTGAAAAGAGGATTTCTGTATTGGAGATGGAGACAATTTGAATAAGAAGACTGTGGAAAATATGTATTGACAGGATTAAATGATTTCTCTTTTAAGTGTGGTTTAAATCACATACAGCCTGTAAACCACTCTCCTCTTGCACAGCAGCCCTGAGAGCTACTTTAATCCACGAGATTGCGACTGGTTCAAGATGATAAATACTCTTATGCCTATTGACCCACTGAATTTAACAGGTAGTAAGCATGCTTAGCACTACAGTTTTGATGATCCTTATGGAGGAGTAGGGGGTTGGACCTGGGCGCCTTCATTTTGAAGTCTGACCATCTATCCACCATCTTTATCCAGAATATGAAAGACTAGGAATTCCATGGAATTCAGAGGTGTTGAGTAATGTCAGTTGAGTTGGTCATGGCCATGGAACAGGGATGGGCAACATGCAGTTCTCCAGGTGCTGTTAGACTGCAGCTCACATCAGCCATAGCTAGCATGGTCAGCAGTGAGAACCTTGGTTGAAGAATGCTTGGAAGGCATTGTATTTTGCAGTTTGTATGTTGCAGAGAGATTAAAATATTCCTGATGATTAGTCTTTGGTGTTTCTGCAGAGGTTATTTGTCTCCTTACAAATTTTTGACTTTCCTCTTCTCTTACCTTCCAAGGTTGTTGTAGGAAGTAATGGTAAAGCACTGCAATACTGATGTATCAGGGGAGATGCCTTCTTGGTTTTGAAGATGACGACAACTCTTTCAGGTAACCGTATCTTTTGCTACTCTCTATTCAACATCTAGTTGCCTGGATAATTCAGTGATTTAGAGGCTGGGAGTTCAGTTCCAGCCAGTTGTGGTCCTGGGCAAGCTGCATAGTCCCATGGTGCCTCCAGAAGAAGGGAATGGCAAACCCTAAAAAGAGTTGCCATAAGTTAGAGTTGACGTGATGGCATGTAATTGTTGTTGTTGTTGTTGTTGTTGTTGTTGTTGTTGTTGTTGTTCAACATCAGTAATTATTATTATTCAACATCAGTAATAATCCAATAATCTGCAAGAAAAGAAATAAAAGAAACATATTGTATGCAAAAATGATTTGCTGGTTTCTGGTGTTAGGCAAAACTGTAACGCTGAATGTGAAGCAGTAAAATAAAAAGATTTGGGTGTGGAAATCTCATCAGAAGCAAAAAAAAAACATGCTAAATCACATGGAACATCTTTCTCTTCAAAGAGAGAGTGGGAATATAGGAAGGAGAGTTGAGTAAGAGACCTGGCTGGCCCAAGGAAGACTTTCCTCATTAGAGGGAGGAAATGAGGAAAGAGTTCAAGGAGATTGTGTATTGAATTCTGTGTGGATTAAAAAAAAACAGAAGATTTTTAAAAAGATGTTGGAATATATGTTGTTCTTTTCTTACTTTAGTGCTGCAAGAAGAACTGGCCTCTGTGGACAGTGAGCTGCAGGCATTGGAGATCCAGATTCAAGAACTTCTGGAACACCAGCAGGATCTTCAGCAGAAGAAGGTGGTTCTGACAAAGAAAATAAAACAATTTTCAGATGCAGGGAGTGGGAGCAGCAAAGATACTGATTCAGCAGTGGAAGACTGGAACAAGGAAGGTCTGTAAGATCACATTTGTTCATTATTGTAGACCTGTGCTGTAGCCTAAGCTGTTAAACAATACAGTAGGACTACAGTAGAGTATAGTAGTACAGCTGTTGAAACATATTGAGTGTTAAGTTTCTAGCATGGGGGTGTCTAATCATTAGATATTGCATGTGTAGGGGGTAAAGATGCCTTTTGTCACTTCTTATATTTTCATGGTTTTTAATTTAAATGAGAGGAAACCACCAGAGTTACTGTGGTTGCAAAATAAATGTTCTGCATGGGTATTGCTCAAACTCTTGTAGCTTCAAATACATTGGAATTTCAGTAAAACATCTTCCCTACTACATCCAACTACTATAAAAATTAACTTTGGCCAGAAATGGCCAGTGGTTTACCCTCCACCCATCTGTGTCTTACTAGAAGGTAAAAGGAATTTTTGATGTTAGCCCATTTTTTCACATTGGGTTTTAGATTGTAAAAGGAACTGCAGAAATGAGTGTTTCCACTAGACCTCTCAAGAGAGGCTTAGTTTGCTAACCATGGATGATTGACTTCATCCCACAATGAAGATAGTGGTTGGCTGAAGAGAAGACGGATGAGTTCTCATCCCTCTTCTCTGTCTATAGCTGTCTGTTGGGTTAATGTAGTTGTCCATCATGGGTCCATGTGCATTCACACTGCCAAATGTGTACAGTTTTGGGAACTGAAAGGTTACTTGGGGAGGGTTGCTTCATTGCTACCCTTTTGTGGAAATCATGTCCTTTAGCTAACAATGTTGCTGTATTCAAATGATTCCCAGGATTGTTTCTGTGTGTACTTCTTCCTTTTTGCAGATTTCCCATGGTCCACTGGGATCAGAGATGCATTGCAAAAAAACTTCAAGCTCAAAAAATTTCGGCCTTTGCAATTGGAAACCATCAATGTTACAATGGCAGGAAGAGATGTATTCCTTGTCATGCCTACTGGGGGTGGAAAGAGCCTGTGTTACCAGCTACCAGCTCTGTGTTCTGATGGTATGTACTCATGTTTTAGAAGCAAAACAATAGTACTGGGTATGTTTAGAGTTCTCAAAAATGAAAAAAAGTTTTCTTCATCTTTCAGTTTGAATATTTCTGTCCATCATGTTGAGAATTTTGATTATAACATATATTCTCATAACATTAGCAGAGTAAGGAGATACTGGTTAGAAGAGATACTTATGACACTATGACACTAAGAGAGTAAAACCAACAACTTATTCTATTTACACACACACACACAGATACACACACACATAGAGAGAGAGAGAGAGACAGACAGAGAGAGACATTCCTCTGGCAGCATGACATGAAGCAACACACAGCATAGGAAAAAATGATCTGACACAGCAGATAAAGATGTTCATTTTACATGTGACTTATGTACAGTTCTGTGACCCATCAGAAAATAGATTACTGCATTTTCTGTTACACAAAGTTTCATTACGTACACTCCCAACTGAAATTCGGCTAGCACCGTCGCTGGGTGTATTCAAAAGCCAGTTCAAAACTTGGCTATTCAAGCATGCCTTCCCTCATCAATTAAGTGATTTCTATTTTTTTCTCTTTTCTCCTTGAGTCATGCCATCTTAGTATTGTGTTGTTTGGAACTAATTGTTATAATTGTATTTTTGATGATTTTATACATGTCATACTGTTGTGTTTTTATCTATGTAAGCCGCCCCGAGTAGACATTGTCTAGAGGGACGGGGCAATAAATAAATAAAATAAAATAAAATAAAATAAAATAAAAAGAAGCAGCAGCAAAAGTACCAGCCCGGGAGGACATTGCCTAGTGTATACCTCTGTGCACTCTTCTGGCTTTGTTTTGGTACAAAAAAGAGGGTGAAGTTCTCAATGATGCATGCTTAAATAATGCAGAACATATTTTATAAAGTCAGCTCTTGATAATATCTTGTTTAAGGTAGTTTCCTCTTCTATCTAGCCCTCCCTGTAGCCCTTCTCACCCTTTGAGGCTAGGTCAGCTTTTCATGGTGATCACAGTTTTACTATATGGTTGGGATTCATGATTAGTACTAACTGCAGCCTCAGATGTTCCTAATGTGCTGTTCCTCTAGCACCACCTCTGTCCAGAAGAGGCTATACTCTGGGCATTCCTTTGTCCTGGAGCACGAGGTTCTAGGTTGTGAACACTCTTCGTTTTTGTATTACCTTTCCTTCTGCAATATTGTTCTTTTCCTGCTAAATTATCATGTGCTGAAGTCCAAAGTGGTGATACCTTCTGAACAATTAAAGCAAAGGATTTTGTTCTGTTTCAGGCTTCACACTTGTGATCTGTCCTCTGATCTCGCTTATGGAAGATCAGTTAATGATGTTGGAACAGCTGGAAATTTCTGCAACTTTACTAAATGCCTCGAGTAGCAAGGTATTATCGGAGTACCAAGAAGGGTGGCTAGTTGCAGATTATATATATAATCAGCTCACATAGATAAATGTAAACAATTATTATAATCAGGTCACATAGAGAAATGTAAACGATTATGTATTTCCTGGAAGCATGCAATTAGTGGTTTATAGTACATTTTCTTATATTGTTTGCACATTTATCCCACTTGTTGGTGAACCTGAACATGGTTTGAGGATAGGTGTTTGCCACCATCATGATGACAAAGTCAGATACTTTCTTAATGGTGACAGGGAAATGAACTACCCTAGAATATGTTTGTTTAGATATGACTAAATTCTTGAAGTATTTGCAGTACAATAGGACCCCTATATTCATGGGAGATCAGTTGTAAGCCCCTCTACTGGTGATGAAAAATGCAGATTATATCAAACGCTATTATAATAGTGAATGCTATACATAACTTGATTTCTGGCTCTCTCTAGTGTCCAGTTCTGTTAACTTTATCATAAGAAATATATATTTCTAGGATTTTTCTTTTAATATTTCTAAGATTTTCAGACTGTGGATAAGTGAATCAGCAGATACTGACCCTGAAAATAAGCGTGTGTGTGTGTGTGTGGGGGGGGGAATTCATAGTTTCTTGTTTCATGTAGAGGTTTTTTGCTGAGACATGATTCTGCACTTGGCCATCAGCTAGCAGAGTCTTGAGTACCCCATGAGTTATTTAATTTGAGAAGCAGTTAGTATCATAATTTTCCTTCTCATTTTTGTTGTGATTATGTGTTATCACTTTTTATGGCACATGTCACGTCTTGTCTCCTTCCCAAATAGGAACACGTGAAATGGGTCCATACAGAAATGCTGTCTCGCAGTTCACAGCTAAAGCTCATTTATGTGACCCCAGAGAAGATCGCAAAAAGCAAAATGTTTATGTCCAAACTGGAAAAAGCTTATCAAGGAGGAAGGCTTACACGCATTGCGGTGGATGAGGTTCACTGCTGCAGCCAGTGGGGGCATGACTTCAGGCCCGGTATGTCTCTCCAGAAGGCAGAGTTTCCACTGTTCTCATTGTGATTCTTTCTCCCTTCCTGACAGTAAATGTGTTGTCCAGGTCCTTTTTTTAAAAAATGCAGTCCCCAGCATTGCAGAGAGGGCTGGGATTTAAACCCAGGTTGTGAGCAGAGTTTTGGCTGCAACACAGCAGTTTAACCGCTGTGCCACGAGGCTACTTACAGTTTAGTTGAGCAGTCTTCAGCCTTTTCACTGTCAAAACATCCTTTCCACATGAACTTGGTCATTCTGAAAATCCCTCTGGGTGCCAAATGATTTTGGCTTCTGTGAATTGGGAGTGAAACTTCAGTCCGACCAAACACTCCACAGATACTGTTCACAGATCACAGGGGTGAGCAAATCAATTGTATTCAGGAAGTTCCCTGGGGCCTCGTGTTGAAAGCCATTTATTCTTGCCCTGCTGAGATTTGGTTTGTTAGGCAGTTCTGAAATATTTTGCCACATACACACACCAGATATATAGGGGCGATCATGTTACATTACAGGTTTGCATTTATGTGCAACGCTTCTGCTTTTATCGTTCCCTGTCATCTAGGATATATAGGGGTGATCATGTTTGCATTCATGTGCAATGCTTCTGCTTTTATCGTTCCCTGTCATCTAGATTACAAGTTGCTTGGCATCTTAAAACGACAATTTCCCAATGCACCATTGATCGGTTTGACAGCTACTGCCACCAGCCACGTTCTGCGTGATGCTCAGAAAATTCTTTGTGTTTTGAACTGCATCACTTTCACAGCCTCGTTTAATCGACCCAACTTGTTTTATGAGGTATCCCCGTTAAGTCTGCATTTTCTTCCAGAAGTCAGTCTGTGTCAAGAATAGTTGAAAAGCAGAATGTCCAGGCTAATGTACTAACAAGCTAACAATATATGGGATTTAAATTGGGTTGGCCCAACACAATCACAGTGTATGTCCAGTACCAGTGTGTGGGAAGCGCCTGCTCAAGGCTGTTAGTTGTTATCTGTTACAGTGAGAGCAAACACTCCTGGCAGAGAAGCAGCAGCTCCCAGCGGTCGGGTGACTTCTCATTCTGCCTTTCTGCTTAGAGTTAGAGCAGAAGTTCAAAGACTTTCTCCAGCCAATCCTATTGGCGATTAAGTAACTAGTGTCCTATCTGAATTCTCACAACATACATGTAACTCTTGCTGTATTAATAAAAAGGGTTCTCAAGGCGTTGCCTGGGGGCTCTGCTGGATCGAATATCTGCTTGTCTACTTCTTTGCAATTGCCTTCCTATTGTTCTGTGATCACCCATATTATTAGCCTTTCTTTGTTCCATGATCACCTACACCAGTGGAATCAGGTTTTCCTTCTGTTCCATCCCCTGCAGCAGCATTTATGGCAGTGCTTCTCAACCTTAGTTTCCCATACATTCTTGGACTACAACTCCCTTGCCACCAGTGCTAGTGGTGAAGGCTTCTGGGAGTTGCAGTCCAAGAATGTCTGGGAACCCAAAGTTATAAGCCACTGATCTGTGGCATCAAAACACTCCTCCAATGTGTTTTCCGTCCTTCTAGAAGTTTTTTTGGTACTGTACCTGGGCAGCTCCAAGAACAGAAAAGGATGATTGATATTTGTGGAAGCAGCAGATTCTGGCAAATTAAACTGTTGGATCCTTGCTCATGTATTTCTTCGGGAGAATTCCTAGATTCTGTATCTTAAGAGTATGGCATTTCAAATCTGGGCATCAGCTACAAAATATATCCCTTTGTATGCTATTTTTATTAGATGTATACCGAGCATTAGGTTAAGGTGGTCACAACAGTTCTTATGAGTAAGCTCTTTCTACTTATATTTCATCTTAGGAACAACCTCTTGATTTTATTTTTTGAGAATACCAATTTATATAGCAATTAGTTCCCTTTGGATGCTGAAAAACGTTTCTTTTAATTCTGTTTTTAAAGTTGTAAATATTTAGATGATCTTTTTAATTACTATTATCTGTTTTATAAACTTCGTAATTTTTTCTGTTTTTAGTCTAACTTGTTTAATCATTGTGAGCCGCCTTGTGTCTCCTCACTGGAAGAAAGGCAGCCTAAAAATAAAACAAGTTGTGATTACAGCTGGAATTTGGAAAAGTTATTGACTGTGTTAGCGGAAACATTTTGTAAGCTGTAGTTCAAAAAAGCAATTTTGCAAGTTTTGGTGGGTATATACAGAAGGATATGTTCCGTTAAAAAAACTCAAGTTAAAAAGGTAGATTTCTGAAAAAGATCAGCATGTGGGCACAACATTTTAAATAACTTTTTAAAATATGTTTTAGGTCCGACAAAAGCCATCAACTGCTCAGAATTTCATTGAGGACATTGTTAAACTCATCAGTGGAAGATACAAAGGCCTTTCAGGTGAATAAAAAAGAAAATAAGTGCTGACTTGTAAAAGCATGGTAGTACCTGTAGGAGACTACCCCAGAGTCTTGCCAAGACCTGCTTAAATACAGTTGTATGTTATATGGCTTAGCAAACCTGTTCTTTCATTTCATCAGTCTGTGATCATTTTGTTGGTACAGGAATTATCTACTGCTTTTCCCAGAAGGATGCAGAACAAGTCACCATGAATTTACAAAAACTGGGGATTAAAGCAGGGACTTACCATGCGAATATGGAACCAAAAGATAAGAGCAAGGTTCACAAGCGCTGGTCTGCCAACGAAATCCAGGTGAATTCTGTAATTGTACGTCTTAACTGTTAGAGCAGTACAACAATGGAACCAACTACCTTGGGAGGTGGTGAACACTCCAGTTCAGGGAGCATTCAAGAGGAAATTGAACAATTATCTGTCAAATCTGCTTGAATTTGGATTTCTGCACTGAGCAGTGAGGTGGACTCTGGCCTTATTGGCCCCTTCCAACTCAATGATTCTATGACCGTGTGGTACTTCGTGCCGGTTTCTGGATGCTTGTTCAGGTTTCTTGGTTGTTATCTTTGTTGATCTCCATTTCTTCTAGGTTGTAGTGGCCACTGTTGCTTTTGGCATGGGAATTGATAAACCTGATGTGAGATTCGTGATCCATCATTCAATGAGCAAATCCATGGAGAACTATTACCAGGAGAGCGGACGTGCAGGTATAAGACGAGGCTAGATTCTGGGGTAAATGTTCCTTGTTTTCCTAAGAGTGCCAGAAAAAAAAATCTAATATCTAAAAATATCATTCTAGGTCGGGATGACCAGAAAGCCGACTGCATCTTATATTATGGTTTTGGGGACATATTCAGGATCAGCACAATGGTGGTGATGGAAAATGTAGGGCAACAGAAACTCTACGACATGGTTTCTTACTGCCACAATATGAGCAGGCAAGTTATCCTCTGTGTTAGTGTGTTGAACTGTTACTGCGTTTATTGAACTTATTGTAAGTTCTAGCAAGTAGAGCATTACGTCAAATGCCAAAGGGAAGATTTTTTGTGAATATTTGTGTTACACGAAACTCTGAAGGACAGCACATCAGATCAAGTTAAAATGACTAGATGGAGGCCATTGTAGTTTAGACACAACACATCTCATTGCAAAAGTTAATGCTAGGAACAGTGGGAAACTGTAGATAATGTTACATGAGACAGGTTTTTTCCTCCAATAAAAGAGACCAAAAATTTCATTTGCAAGACCTATAAAGGTAAAGGTTCCCCTTGAGATTTAGTCCAGTTGTGTCTGACTCTAGGGGGCGATGCTCATCCCTGTTTCCAAGTCATAGAGCCAGCGTTTGTCCGTAGACAGTTTCCATGGTCATGTGGCCAGCGCGACTAGTAAGACCTATAAAGGTCCTTTAATGACAGGACCTTTTGAAAGTCACTAATAGCTTTCACCATAAGACAAAATGACCTGGTGGCATTTAGTAACAACAGTAAATTAAACCTGGGTAACTCCTAGCTTTCACCATAAGACAAAATGACCTGATGGCATGTAGTAACAACAGTAAATTAAACCTGGGTAAGGATAACAAAGAGCTGTTGGTTTAGGTATTTGGCTGGGGAGCCAGAGGTTGGACTTTCAGTTCCTCACTGTGCCTCCTGCAAGTAGAACCAGCCTGTGTAGCCTTGAGCAAGCTGCACAGTGCCAGTAAAACTCTACCTAGAAAAGCCTGGAAAGGGTCACCATAAGTCAGTTGACTTCACAGCGCAGTTATTAAGGATAAAAAGTAAGGGGGTGGGGAAGGAAGTACTTTGTGTTCATGATGCTCTCCCTGATTTGCAAACACGCTGGCTCTATGGCTTGGAAACGGGGATGAGCACCGCCCCCTAGAGTCGAACACGACTGGACAAAAATTGTCAAGGGGAACCTTTACCTTTACTTTTACCTTTTACTAAGGATAACAAAGAGCTGTTGGTTTAGGTATTTGGCTGGGGAGCCAGAGGTTGGACGTTCAGTTCCTCACTGTGCCTCCTGCAAGTAGAACCAGCCTGTGTAGCCTTGAGCAAGCTGCACAGTGCCAGTAAAACTCTACCTAGAAAAGCCTGGAAAGGGTCACCATAAGTCAATTGACTTGACAGCGCACAGTTATTAAGGATAAAAAAGTAAGGGGGTGGGAAAGGAAGTACTTTGTGTTCATGATGCTCTCCCTGATTTGCAAACCCATTCCTGGCAGAGAGCCAGGGTTACATCTACACAAGATTAGTGTGTAATTTGAAAAAAAAAACCCTACTGTTTTGCTAGTTAAACAAGTGTGTCACTTCTGCAAGGTTGTAGAAAGTCAGTTGATCAGCATAACCCTATATAGGAGTATGTATGTAGAAAGCTGGTATCTTGTTCTTTTGAATCTATCAGCCCATGACCGATCCATGGAATTCAAGTACACACGTTGAATTGCTGAAGGTTAGGGTATTCCGGGAAAACCTAGGTATATGTAAAAGCCTGTTGAAATAAATGAATTTAATTTCTATGTGACTTTGCTCTGGATACAATTCATTGGCCAAAATCCTCTTGCAGAGTTACACTGGCACAACACAAGTGACAAATTGCCTTAAGGTAAGAAATCACTGTAGATATTATCTGTTGCATGCAGAGTCATGTGACTTGGCATGCAACTGATAATGTGTATAGTGAATTCTTAAAGTGGGACAACTTGCTTTCAAAGGTTATGCTGTTTGCATAGCTATGGAAGACAATCTTGTCTTTCATCCATTCAGTTACTAAATATAGCTCATGGGTTATGGAGGGTGAGTACCATATGGTACATCCTCTAGGCAGTGCAGGTTACCCAATGTGGAGAAGTGGATAGGGTGATGGATTAAGGCCCTAGAGATTTGTGGAAACTCACATAGGGAGTGGAACTGGTAAAGCCACCCCTTAAATATCTCAGTAATCTTGAAAGCTTTATTTAGGTCACTCTAAATCAGTTCCAACTTGATGGCTCATCACTAACTGTAGGCAGTATGGCAGCTGCTTGGGGACAGAAATGATATAGTCCTTCTACATTTGGCCTTATTAGACATCCAGCTCACTATTGTGGGATAGGAATACCTTTGCTTGGTCCAGCAACCCTAATCATGTTCTTTGAACTTTTACCTTGTTCTGGGTCCATTCCTCTCCAGTGCATATAAGCTTTTAACCTGGGTGTGTCTGTATAAACATACATGTGTTTCCTCCATGACTTAAGCATTTTGTGTCTGCAGGTGTCGGCGCGTCCTGATAGCACATCATTTTGACGAGGCTTGGGATTCTGCCAACTGTAACAAGATGTGTGACAATTGCTGTCGAGAGGAGAGTAAGTGAAAACACAGCCAACTGGACCGAGAGCTTCCGGGTTCTGCCAGAAGGTCTGAAGCAAATCGAGCTGTCTCTGTCCCAGGGTAGCTTTTGACCATGTAAGCTGCCTTTAGAGTAGAGTGGTAGAGAAGATTGCAGATGTGGTCTGTGTGCCAGCTGTGCTGTGCTAACCATCAGCTGCTTGCGCAGCTGCCCAGATTGATGAGAGGGAGCAGCAGGTGCACTCTTCCTCGTTTCTCTGATTGACTATCTCGTTTGCTCCAGGACTGTCCCGTATGGGTGGCCTGCTGCGCCCACTGGTGATCAGCTGGTACAGTTCCTCCTCCCACACAATTTCATCTCTTGTTTGATATGTGTGCCGACCAGTTTCCTCCCAAATTAATGCATTTTATAAAGTAGAGGCATGTAGTAAGGAATGGTTTGAAAGAAGACTGTAAAGTGGCAACTGTAGTGCTTAGTGGTTTAGGTGTCTGGCTGTGGAGGCAGAAGTTGGGAGTTGGGAGCATTGAGCACAGTGCTTGTAGCACAGTGATTAAGCTGCAGTAGTGCAGTCAAGACTCTGCTCACAACTTGAGTTCATTCCCAAAAGGTTCAGGTATTAATTCGAGCTTGACTCAGCTTTCCATCCTTCTGAGGTTGGTAAATAAGCACTCCGCTCTCTGGGTGGGGTGCGGCGTGTGCAATGTCTAGCCTGCATAATTATTTTGTAAACTGCCCACAGAGCGCTTTAAGCACTGTGAGCGGTATATAAGCAACATATTTTGCTTTTGTATCCAAAGTGCTAAGGGCAAATTCTGGAGTGATGTTTAATGCTATCACCTGGATATCATCAGGGTAGGATGATATTCAAGGTGTGGGAACAGAGGAGTGCATCCTATGTGCCAGGTTTCCCTGTTGCATTTGGGTGTGCAGTTTGGTGGTGTGAACAATATGGTGGGATGAGCTTCAAGATCCAGAAATGTTCCTTAATGGAACTGATTGCTGCCTTTGGAGTAGAGATCAGATTGGAGGTTTGTGCTGGTTTGTAAGCGCAGCGGAACAGGTGCCATATGCTTCCTTTCCCCACCTCCCTGGCTGGATTCCCCCGCTTATCAACCAGTGTGTGCTTCTGTCCTCCTCCTCTTTGGCTGTTCAGCCAGTTCCCAGGAGGAACATGGGCTTCCCTGCTCTTGGCTGATCACCAACTCAGACAAGGAGGCAGCACAGGCAAGCCCTTGCTCCTGCCGGGGACTGGCTGAACAGCCGAAGAGAGGAAGGAGAGAGGGGCACACTCCGGTTGATGAGTGGGGCATTGGCCGGGGAGGCAGGGGAAAGAAATGCCCATCTCTGCTTTGGAGTCTGGAAAAAGTTGTCTTATAGATATGCTAGTAATTCCACAACTTGTTAAGCTGTTGTTACTTCTGTTCATACCAGAGGAGACCTCTCTGCTGTGCAGGCCTCCTGGTGTGATCCGCTTCTTTCAGTTTGATTTTCTGCTTGTAGTATTCCTTCAGTTTGATGCTCTGCTTGTAGCATACGCAGGTCAAGCTGTCTCTTACAGGAGCTAGTAAGTGGAAGACCCCAGGATGGAGGGTGGATTTGGTGACTCTCTTTATCCCTCTCATCTCATACTGGTAGCAAGTAATATCTGGTGTCTTTTGTTCTTCCATCTCTGCCATCCCCAAATGATGATCAGCGTGTGAGAAGATGGACGTGACCAGGCACTGTAGGGATCTCATCAAGATTTTAAAGCATGGAGATCAGAAGAAGGAGAAATTCACTCCTCTAAAACTGATTGATGCCTGGCTAGGAAAAGGTTTATCAAAAATGGGAATAGAGATTGTCATTCCCAGGCTTCCCCGTGAGATGCTGGAGAGGATTGTGGCTCACTTAATACTACAACAGTACTTGAAGTAAGTACAGAACCAGGGGCTCTTTCGGCCCTGTTCAAGCATTATCTACATGGCGTGGGGGGGGCTGCATGTGGGCAGAAGGCTGGCATTGATAATACGGACACAGCTTTGTTCACAACTATGCACCCCAAGTTCCTCCTCTTGCTATATTGCACAGCAAGGTCTCAAGAGACGTCCTGCTGCTGTTCACATGGAGGCCAGTAGAATACCTCATGTAGTTGGGAAAACTACAATAAATCAAGTGAATGTGAGTAGAGTAGCTTTTCAGTTCTTGATCTGTCAAGTGTGACCATAGCACAGGTAACTGAGGGACAGGTGTCCCCAGCTCCTTTACCTTTACTCACCCAGGGTACTCATCTGTTGTCTTATATAATCCCTGAGAATCAGCACAGTATTAATCCCCTCTACATTCACCAAAGAAATGCCTTTACAGTGGTGCCTTGCTTAACAACGATCTCTACATTCACCAAGGAAATGCGTTTAGTGGTGCCTCGCTTAACAACAATAATCCATTCCAGAAAAATCGTCATTATGCGAAAACATCGTAAAATGAAATTAAAAACCCCATTGAAACGCATTGAAACCCGTTCAATGCGTTCCAATGGGGTAAAAACTCACCGTCCAGCGAAGATCCTTCATACGGCTGCCATTTTCGCTGCCTGTATAGTGAGGAATCCGTCCCTAAACACAGCGGGGAGCCATTTTAAGCACCCGGTGGCCATTTTGAAACCGCCGATCAGCTGTTAAAAAACCATTGTTTTGCGAAGAATCGGTTCCCAAAGCAGGGAACCGATCATCGCAAAGCGAAAAAATGTTATTTAGACCATCGTTTTACAGCGATCGTCGTACAGCGATTTCGCCGTAATGCGGGGCAATCATTAAGCGAGGCACCACTGTATGTATTACTTGGTTCAGCAGTAAATACCGAAAGGGAAGGGTCTTGGTTTTGCCTTCTGTTGCCATCATTAAAGGTCTATAGAGATTTCTTTGTGTTCCCATTCTGCTTCCCTTCTTTTCCTCAATTTCCCTTTTGTACAAACAGGCTTTCTTTTTTTTCTTTTTCTTTTCTTTTTCTCCCTTTCGTACAAACAGGCTTTCTTTCTTTTTTTTGCAGGGAAGACTTCAGCTTTACAGCATTTACTACAATCTCCTACATAAAGCTTGGGCCGCGGGCTGATCTTCTAAAAAATGAGGGCCATATGATCACTATGCAAGTCTTAACATGCAGAAACAGTTTTGCTAAAGTAAGTTTTTTTTATATGTGATTTTTTTTCTGTATGAGATTTTGTCATTGTTATCAAATAACATTAAGTTTGGTGGGTACTTTTCTTCCTTTGAATTCTTATGTAATGAAATCAACTCTTTTATTTGTACAGAGTTAGTTCTAACTTGCCTATCTTACAAGGTTTGCTTCTTATGCATACACCCTATAGAGACAAATTAGATTCATACTTATTCTTAGCTCAGCTATCTTTTCAGGAATATCAAAGTAATAATTCTCTAACCAGCAATTTTGTGTATTAGTACCGATTATACTGTTGAATCCCTGGGGTATTGCAAAGGCCAAAATCCTCTTGCATAAAATTATGACCATGCAACCTGATGATGTCATCAGATGCTGATGGTTCTGTTGCTGGGATTGGAACTGTTAGCAGCATTTGGGGGGCTTTACAGCATCCTCCCCTGCCCCCAAGGTTTCCCTGGGTCACAAAGGAGCCTTAGAACCTGGTGCTGGGGGTGGGTGGGATAGGAAACCCAATGACTGATAAAAGCTGCAACTGACAATGTCATCAGTTTGCACTGGCATAACTTTATGCAAGAGGATTTTGTCTAAAAAAATAAAACATACATTCTGTCATACCAGGAATTTTACTTCCAAACAATAATGTGAACAGCGCTCTCTCACATCTTTGCTTGACTATGGACTCAAGGGCCATCTTGGTTCTATTGCACTGTTGATGAAAGTCGATCACTTCTGTGAACAGCTGACTGTAGCTTAGTTGAAGTGGCAGATATCAGTTTTCAGACTCTGAATTGATTAAATGAATTTGTAATTGGGTTGTGATCTCTTCTCAGTGGATCTTGCAGCCTTTAAAGTGGCCTAATAGGGGGCCCGTATAAAATACATATTTGAAATGTGTCAGCATCCCCAATGTGTATGTTCTGTCTGAAGGAGTGGCATCTCCTGCTCTTTATAGACATGGGACAGGGGCGAGACTGTGAATGTCACAATGTCATGTGACTAGAAAAGAGATTCAGATCAGCACTGCTCATGTACTGTATTTCAGGTGATACTTAGTTTGGGCTGGAGAATATTAACAGAAACTGTTTGATTGGCAGATCAGATCACCTCCAGTATCGAGTCCAGGGAACTTGGGAGGAAAGAAAAGGAAAGATAAACATAAAAACCAGGAAGGGGAGAGGAAGAGGTCTCTCTCAGACAACCACATCAAAGTCAAAAGAGCTAGAACTGAACCAAACGAAGAAGAGGATGAACCAGTGATCATAGAAGATTAAGAAGCTGAAACACAGTTTCAGGAGTTAAAACATGCCTGCATGTTTCAGTGATGTGGACAGTGTTTTGAAATGACTGTGTTTGGCATTTTGTCATAATGGAAAGGTAGGTGAGCTTGGTTGCTATGAATTGGATTAAAAGTCTAGTTTAAATGTGGCTTGAATCTTAGTACATGGCAAGTATATCTTTGTTCCATAAAATCTTGCTTTTTTAAAATGTGTCGGTGTCTGATTTGCAGCAGGCAGTTATCATTTTGCGCTACTGGATAGCTAAGTGGTTTAGGTACTGTGCTGCAGAGCAAGAGGTTGGGAGTTCAGTTCCCCACTCAATGATCCACAGGGTCCCTTCCAGCTTTGCAGTTCTAAGATTATTCTTATATTGTCGGATTCAGTGTAGAAGTGGGACTTGACACCAGCCATGCAAAGGCCGGCCCAAAGAGGACTCTGAAGCATTTGAAAAGGAGTAACAATTCTTCTTACAGGGCATTGTGCTGCAGAGCAAGAGTTTGGGAGTTCAGTTCCCCACTCAATGATCCACAGGGTCCCTTCCAGCTTTGCAGTTCTAAGATTATTCTTATATTGTCGGATTCAGTGTAGAAGTGGGACTTGACACCAGCCATGCAAAGGCCGGCCCAAAGAGGACTCTGAAGCATTTGAAAAGGAGTAACAATTCTTCTTACAGGGCAAAAGCACAGCAGCACTGTTTAGTAAAATCGGAGCAAGCACAAAGATTGCACCCACTAATCTATGGCTTTAAACAGAAACTAGTTCTTATGGAAGGCTCTTCAAATATACTATGGCAGACTTGATCACCCTATGGACTGCTCAAAGCCTCCGAGCTACAGACTCCTTTGAAACACACCACAATGCCATTGCCTAGTCCAGCAACCCCCACCCCACCCCAAATGTGGTGCCTTCCAGACATTTTTGGACTAGTTTCCTTCAGCTCATGGCCAGTGATTTTTCTTCTGGCATAACTGATGAGTCGCTTTCACTGATGAGAAGGATACAAATATTTTAAATACGATGGATTTATTTATTGCGCAGTTTGGAGTCCACACTGAATCAAATATAGCCCCTTTATTTTTATTTTTAAAAAAGCTTATTTTAATCAAATATGAAGTCTGATCTTTTCAGACATTCAGTCAAAATAATCCTCAATGTCAATGTTTGGATCCAGGAGATTTTCCCCATAGCGTGAAAGATCCATTTGATTCAGAATCAAGTTTTCAAAGGTTTCTTCCAAGTCCGTCTCGCCAATCAACACGGCTCCCAGCATGCGGCCATTCTGCATCACCACTTTGATGTACTCTTGTCCTTTGGTAACCCTCAGCATTAGTTCATGGTCTGAACCCAGTCCCTGGGCGTTGTACTTTCCTAGCAGCACCACCTAAAGGAATAAGGAAGTCACAAAGGGCAGTGAATTCTCTTAATTTAAAAACGGTACCAAAATGTGAAGAATGGGATCTTGTGTTTCTATTCAGGTACCCCCATTTGGCTCCTTCTTAAGGACAAGATTCTGCCACTATATCTTCTAATAAAGATGGCACCGAGTAATGCAATTAGATCCCAGCTCCAAAGTACTTTGAGATGTGTTATCACAAGGAATTGAATGATACATTTCTAGTCACTCGAAGGCATCAAAAGACAGTGGCCAGACACATGGCATTTTACTGTGTTCTCCTGCTTCTACTGAAGATTAGTCCATAACCCTGCTTGGTCATTAAATACTTGGTTCATAACAGCACACTTAAACGGAGCAATTATCCCTGCCCCACTCCCACTTTCTTCCTGCAGAGAGTAACATGCCTGCAGTGGAAACTTCTGGCTAATGTGGATGCTCTCTTGGTAAGGAAGAGAACCCCAGTTTTCTGGAGTGCCAGCTGACGTATGCCAGCAGGAGCCTTCTCTTTATAAGGAATGCCATTTATGTGGAGAAAACAGTAATAGAGGGGAGAAATTAATTGCTCCTCTAAGCATACTGCAAAAACAAAAATAAGCGTGTCAGACAGCCTAATGATCCCAGCTGTGATTGGTCTAGATTGTGCTAAACAAGGTTTTTGAGAGGTGCAGAATGTCATTTGGAGTGATCCTTGCAGCCACGTGCAAGGATCAACAACATCACACCTCAAGTGGCCCTGTTTATCACAATTTTTACCAGCCTTCCTCCTGTCTCCTGATCCATGCTGTTCTTAAGCTGCTTAACAATTAAAACATGGAAAGATTCCTTCCTGCTCCCCTATGAAGGGGAAGGAAGATGAAGGTTTCAATTTCTTTTAAATTGTTGCTAGCTCAGTGATGCACTGAAAAGGCTTTCTGAAGAATTGCTGAGGTGTTAGCAACAATTTAAAAGAAATGGGGAGTGGGAAGGGAGTGTTACATTTCTCAAAATCTGTCCAGTTGCACCCTAAGTAGTTATAATCTGTATGATAATTCAGAAACATGGGTAATGAAAAGCTACCATTTTACTCAAGGCAATTTTGGATCAGTGAGTGACTACAGTATGTTGTGCAAACTACATGAAAATAACTTAAACATTGTTACTGCTAATGCTTATACCAGTGCAAACACATTACCATATTTTTCTGTGTATAAGACGCCCCCCCCCGCTTTTCTAATCAAAATTAAGAAAAATAAGTGCGGCTTAACAAGTATACGGGGAAAGGAATAAAAGCGCTGCAGGATTGCTTTGATCCCTGCTTGTTTTCTCTCCTCAGCTTACTTCCGTGTATAAAACAACCCTCAATTTTTAGTCTAAAGATTTTAGACAAAAGTATAGTGGAAAAATAGAGTTCTTTCTCTTTACAGGCATAATTATGGGCCTGAAGTGGCTTCAGACTAATGATTTATTATGTAGGGCCTTCTCTCGGTACAAAACAGACTCGGGAGTAATCTTCAGTTCCAATATTTAACTTAAATATTTTGTGCCACACAACGAACAGCACAAGCTAGACCCTATAATATGGTTTATTGATGAACAGCTATAAGCTGCAAATCCAACAGGTCTTCTAGATAACCTACAGAATTAAAACACATTTGCTTGTAAATGACTCATCCCAATTACTCCCATTGCCATTGTTTAAACTGAGGTCATTACCTTGTAATTGAAGAATTTTGTTACATGAGCAAAAAGTTCAAAGCAGAAGTCCATGTCTATAGGTTCGCCTAAAATCTCAGCAGCCATACATTTTGCAGCATACCATCCCATCTGCCTAGCCTGGGTCCAGAGTCTCATCTGTGGGGAGGTGAGGTGTTGAGGGGGGAAAAAAGACAATACATCAAGATGTAGGATGTTATTCATACAGTCAGTCCCATCTCCAGGATTCAGCAGGTTGGGAAAGTATATTAAAAAGCAGATCCGTTCTTTCACCAGATTACAGACTACCTGGAGACTTGCATTTCTGAAGTGGTGGCAAAGTCCTCACATTTATTTAACTTAATTGTGTTTTTAACTATATGAATTTTAATATTGTGAGCTGCTTTGGGTCCCTTGTAGGGAGAAATATGGCATATAAATAAACTAATGATAATAAGGATGGTTGCTGGATGGCTAAGATGCTTTCTGACTGATCCCACATCTAAGCAGGTGGACCTTCTGGAAAGGCACACGACTTCTGTCAATACAAACCACACATGGGGCTTCACAACTTCTTTTCCTCTCAAATAAAATTTAAGTGTATCTTTTAATGGGCAAAGTCCACCAGAAGCATCATAAAGTTACTTGAGAGGCAACACACCAAAGTGGGAAACCTTTGGCCTTCCAGAAATTTGGGACTACATCTCCCATAATCTCTTAATATTAGCCATGCTGAGTATGGCAGACAAAAGATAATAGGCCAAATACTATATATGAAGGCCCAAAGGTGGCCAAACCACATCCCGTGTGTGAGAGTGAGAGTGAGTGAGTGAGAGAGAGAGAGAGAAACCAGTGTACTGAATATTTGGAAGTTGCATTATGCCAACTAGCCGAAATGTTTTGCTACTCATCCAAGTAGCTTCTTCTTGTTATTAAGAGATGTATCCTGCATCTCCTCTAATGTGCTCAATATGAAAGTCCTCCCCAGTTTATTCATAGTAACACTGTAAGTCAAAGTAAGCCAGAGGGATTAGACTAAGGTCAGTGCATGATTTTCATATGTCTGTGTGGATATGAACTCAGATCTCCCGAGTCCTAATACAGGATATCTTCATTATTAATTAACTGAATTACCAGATATACAACTGGAGTCTATTGTAGGCTAATCATCAGAACTATGTGGCCTTTGGGAATTGTCTCAAATCTGGGCAAGGAGCACGATCATTACTTTTCTTACCTGTTGCCAAAACGGACTGGGCTCCCATGATGCACTGCAGATGTCTCCTGCTGCGTAGATATCAGGTAGTGAAGAATGCATGGATATGTCCACTTTTACACCTCCATCTTCACCTAGAGCAAACTTAACATTTAATAGAAAAATGAGATTTCCACCATCAAAAGAGAAAAAAAATCAGAAACATAATTTTTCTGGTATGTCAAATAAAATATCTGTTTTAAAAAAAGAGGCACACCACCAGGAAACCACACATAAGTGCAGCTGCTCTGAATCTAGCTACCAATATTCCAGTTGACTGAGGCCTGAACAGATAGATACAGTCATTTCGCAGTTATTCTCTCCAGCTAAGCACTCTTTCACACATTACAGCCTTCTGCTATTCAGATGAGTGTCAAAAATTTAGACTAAGAAACAACATACACCACCACTTGTTAAGACTGCAGATGCACTGAACATTGTCTACAGACAAGCACACTTTGTTTATTCCCTTTGAACTGCAAGCACAAATCAAGATCTGCCAGGTATTCTTGACCTGAAAGATTTCTTCTGTCTTCCCAAAATACTGGGCCTGGTAGACAGATCAGGTACCAGAAAGTGGAGGTTATTAAGGGAAATAAAGCAGAAGATGATAAACCAGATTACAAAGGTGTTTCTGAAAGAAATGTTCTAAGCCACATGTTGTGAAGCATCATAAACAAACTTCTGTATTACTGATCCTAGTTTTAGAGGTATCCACTTCAATGCAATCTATTTCCAAGACATGACATATAGTGTATTATTTTTGACAGAATCTTTCAAAACCATGTATGAGCAAAGGAGGTGGGAGAAAAAGGTCAAGTTATATTCTGAAAAACACTGCCCATTATTTACATGTTAATCCTTACATTATTACCATCAAGGAACGGGTGGACATTTGGGACAACTCCAGTTGCACTAACAATGAAGTCACAGCCGTATATCTTCCCGTTGGTTAATTCCACATACACAGGCCAAAGCTCTGGAAGAAGAGAAGTTCAAGCATATCATTAAACAGACTAGGATGTCTTTAAAACAGACATAAAGCGGGCACAAAATACGCAGACTTTATGTCTGGTAATCCTGTTCAGTAATTATGTGCCTCCAACTACATAAGGTGCCATGGGGAGTTGAGGAGGTGTGGTTGGTTGGTTGGTACTTTGAAATGTTTCCCCGAAAGCAATGTACTTCCTGAATATTGGGAGGGAAGGGGCCTGGCGCACCTCCACAGACAGAAGGTTCTATGGAGAGATGGCCACCACAGAGAAGGCCAGGCACCTAGACGAGGATTTACTAGCCTCCCTCGGGGTGGGCCATCTGCAGGATCAATGCCAGGGAGGTACAAGTGACACAGGAAGCTGATCTTGGGGAAAGGCAGACCAAAATGTTGAATGTCTGGTTGTGGAGCTCGCACCTTATTAGACCTCCACGGCAGCTTCCACAGCAAGAACTCCATGTATGTAACTACCGAATAGGAGGCTGGCCTAGGTGTCACGTGGTCTGCTCCTTCATTGGAACTCTAACTAGAAGATGTTACCAAGAGTGAGTGAGTCATCTTAGGGGGCTGTGCTAAGCCTGATGGTTCATTTTTCAGATCAAAGACAGAACAAGGAACGAGATAATTCCTGAACAAGCCCTTAAAAATTGAGAAAATATTCAACATTTATATTATCCAGCTTTCTTCCACTGTTTCCCATATCCGCGAATGCTCTGGTGGTATTTTCATCTTTTAAAAGGTAAAGGTTCCCCTTGACAAATTGTCCAGTCGTGTCCGACTCTAGGGCATGGTGCTCATCCCCGTCTCCAAGCCATAGGGCCAGCGTTTGTCCGTAGACAGTTTCCGTGGTTACATGGCCAGCGCAACTAGACACAGAACGCCATTACCTTCCCAACAAGGTGGTCCCTACCTACAGTATTTATCTACTTGCATTTTACATGCTTTCGAACTGCTAGGTTGGCAGGAGCTGAGACTAGAGACAGGAGCGCACTCCATCGTGTGGATTCTATCTTACGACACAAGAGACAGGAGTGCACTCCATCATGTGGATTCTATCTTACGACTGCTGGTCTTCTGACCTTGCAGCACAGAGGCTTCTGCGGTTTAACCTGCAGTGCCACAATGTTACGTGCTACAAAGTGCTACACATCTTTTACTATAACACTTACTTCTTCCAGGAGTGCACTCCATCATGTGGATTCTATCTTACGACTGCTGGTCTTCTGACCTTGCAGCACAGAGGCTTCTGCGGTTTAACCTGCAGTGCCACAATGTTACGTGCTACAATGTCCCTTTCATCTTTTACTATAACACTTACTTCTTCCTGGATTAAGTCAGTATCAGACTTATTTATTAACTACCTTCTGAATGAGACAGTGTGTGCATCATGTGTCTTCAAGCTGCATCCAGCTCATGGTGATTCCAATTGGGTCTTAACTCTACGAAAGATGTTCAAAAAGTGGTTTTTAACTTGTGCCACCCAGAATGAGTGTCCAGGGTTGAGCAGGGATGGAACCCAGGTCCCCTGAGTCCTAGTCTGTCAATGTCCACTGCATTGCTGTAGTTCTCCGACAGTAGCACGATACATTACCCCAGATATGAATACAGCCCCCATCTTAATATGGCTTTCCACCACAGCTTTGGGAAAGTACAACCAACTTCAGAACATGAGAACGACAGTCAGATCAGCCACATGCAACCAATTTCTCTGTCTTCATCATCACACTCCTACCCTTCAGAGGGAAAAGCTCCCATGCATCATAATATTAGCGTTAATCAATACTCTTCAGTAGTCCTTTATATATTAGCAAAGCTGCATGTATATTTTGCAACAATCTAGTTATGTTACTGACTGCCACATTTTAGTGCATGAGTTTCACAGAACAGAAATTAGGTAACATTTGCTGTTCTCAGCCTGTGATCCAAGCCAAATTTTACTCAGTAGTTTCCTCTTTTTTTATGTTCTGCCTGATCAACAAACCTCCCCATCTGCTGAGAGAGAACTGGTAGAAGGAAATTCTCTCACCAAGTTCAGGCTCTGGGAATTCCAATGCCTGCTACAGCCAAAGAGAGGATTCCAATCCCACTGAAGACTTTCAATCCCACTGAAGCCTCATGTGTATGCCACATCATAATGTCTTCTGTACCACAAAAGCATTGTCAAAACCAAGCTCTCTATTATTTACCTATATCTGTTTCTGAATTCTTGTCCTCTTCAGCTCTGGGGAAAGCCAAAGATACCTTCTGTGACTGTTGGAATTCTTCCCGGAGGTATATCTTCTTTACTTCGCATAAGGTTTCAATGTGAACTTTATGGGAGAGCTAACAAACATTGACAGATGTGCTTATAAAACACTGCAACTGCAAGAAACACGCTTTTAAAAGGTTCTTTGTGACATCAAGGAGCTTTTTTTGAGGCCCATGCAGAGCATAAATATGCCTTGCCTGATTAAAAAGATGTTGGTCTGTGCCAGAATTATAGCATACAGATCACATGAATTGGGACTTGTGTATCTCTAGATTTCTAAGTAAAATAGAAATTCAACACAAAGCTTGCACAGGATGTGTCCTACGTGTGCATCAGACAGCCTATCTGTCAAATCACTTGTCCAGTATGAAACCGTCTTACCAAAGAAGATCACATGATCTTCTTGGAACCCTGACATCCTGTTTAACAGGAACATACTGTATTTTTCCATGTATAAGATGTCCCCATGTATAAGATGCCCCCCACTTTTCTAATCCAAAATTAAGAAATCTTTGATCCCTGCTTTCCCCTCCACTTGTTTTTGTTCTCTCCTCATCTTACCTCCATGTATAAGACAACCCTCAATTTTTAGTCTAAAGATTTTAGGCAAAAGTATAGTCTTATACATGGAAAAATACGGTAGATCCTGTTTAACAGGAACATAGCTGTAAACTAAATTGGTTTAGAATAGGCAGCCAACATGCAGACTGAGATCTAGTAAGAAGAGATCAGGCAAGCTTAAAATCAGTGCATGGCAGGTTTAGAAGAAAGGCAAAGGCCAGAATCCTATTCATCTTCATGTAAGGTTTGCATAATCGCTGCAGCTAAATGCAACTAATTGACAGGGAGCTGGTACACACCTCAGTTGCACACCCAGCTGCATGACTGAGACACACACTGCAAGTGTCAGCAGAAATAAACCATGACTTTACCATTTCAGTTATAGCGCCATCACTTCATCCCTGCACATGAGATTCTAGCCTTATTTGGATGTTACATCTTGTAAGGATGAGCATCACCAGAGGTGACAATGGAAGGAAATTGGCCCGCCATAGGTCTTCCACTGAAGGGGAATGTGTGAAGACAGGAACCTGTTTGACATTCAGAGCCACTGCCTGTGATTTAGGCACCTGCATGAGCAGCACTCTAAATGAGGGGAGAAGGATCTCATGGCTGTAGAACTGTGGGAATATGTTTGCTATGCTTGCTGCTACACATTGCATTTGCTGCTGTCTTTAGTAAAACTATGTAAGTTATGTTGTAGCACACACACATGCTAGCTTTTTGCTTCCTTATATGGAATGTATATAACTCACGCATGCGCTAATATAGCACAGATATATGTTAACGAACATAGTTGATTGGTTTAGAAGAGCCGCAGTATGAGGTGTATCTAAGATAATAAAGAGAGGCACAGAAAGGGTTGGCAGATTCAAATTGGCCTGCCCTAGGTCTTCCTCTGAAGGGGAATGTCTGAAAACGGGAACCTGTTTGACATTCAGAGCCGCTGCCTGTGATTTAGGCACCTGCATGAGCAGCGCTCTAAATGAGGGGAGAAGGATCTCATGCCTGCAGAACTTCTGTATTTAGACATGTGCCGTGATGCTTGGGAGGGGGCATAAGAGTTAGAAGGGGCTTAGCACAGGCAACTCTGCTCTCTATTCATGCAAATGTTAACTGCTTCCCTATGCTGCATTGCCTATTAAACTCATGCGTTAGTCCTTGTGTCTTCATTCCTTCATCAACCTGTATGGCAGCTGGACTGCTATATAGAACAAGACTTCTGTATTTAGACATGTGCCGTGATGCTTGGGAGGGGGCGTAAGAGTTAGAAGGGGCTTAGCACAGGCAACTCTGCTCTCTCTTCATGCAAATGTTAACTGCATTGTCTAAATACGAGAAGGGAGCTTTTGATCAACCATCCTATGCTCATCATTTCACAGCATTATACATTCTACTTCCAAGAAAGGGGAGTCTCTGGGACGGGGCCTTCTCGACAGCAGCACCCTGGCTGTCAAACTTCCTTCTGAGGGAGCTTAGGCTAGTTTCTTCTTTATTGTCCTTTAGACAACTGAGAAGTGCACAGTCCTCATCTTTATTTACAGTCAACATACTATTATATAAAAAAAAATCTCAGAAATGCAGTACAAATGTGCAAAAAATACTAAATACTGAATATTTACAGAAAATCAAATTCCACTGCTTTGCCACTGGTTCAGGGACTGATTTATCGGCACACCCTGAAGGGTGTTAATCATGAGAGGCTCCCGAGAAGAACACTGTTCTACTGAGCTTATAGCAGTGAATTCCACTCTCTTCTTACTATTCACCCCTAATTTGTATGGCTTCTTTATAAAATTTGTGCTTTAAACTTGGACAGTGTCTCACACACTTATTGAGCAAGAGGAATTGTCTGGAAATACTTGGAAGTAAAAATAATAAATACCATCTCTTTTGCTCCTTTAAGATGCAAGCCTTCGTGCCAGTCGGGGCCTAACGCACTGCCTATTTTCCCAGCCCCTGCTGTTTCTCTTTCTTCCGTCTCACTTTCTGGGGAAGCAGAAGGATAAGTTTCAAAAGTGCGAAAGAACAGAAAAGGCCAGCATCAATAATTGTCTAGCAACAGAACAATCCAGTATCTCACAGCTGGTCAAAGCCTACAGAGTTAGTTTGATGTAACAGTAAGGGCTTCACAGGTACAAAACACATGGATATGATTGGATACCTTATGCATGATTACCATTTTAGTAGATAATTTTAATCTTTTCCATGCTTCCATGTTTCAATCTTTTCATTTTATTTTAAATCATATATTGTTGAATTTGTCTTTTAATAGTTAACTTATTGTGTTTTTAACGGTGTGAATTTTAATGTTGTGAGCTGCTTTGGGTCCCTTGTAGGGAGAAATGTGGCATATAAATAAACTAATAATAATAATAATGGTTTCTGGATGGCTAAGATGCTTTCTGACTAATCCCACGTCTAAGCAGGTGGACCTTCTGGAAAGGCACACAACTTCTGTCAATACAAACCACACATGGAGCTTCAGAACTTCTTTTCCTCTCAAATGAAATTTAAGTGTATCTTTTAATGGGCTAAGTCCACCAGAAGCATCACAAAGTTGCTTGAGAGGCAACACACCAAAGTGGGAAACCTTTGGCCCTCCAGAAATTATCCCCAGTTTATTCACAGTAACACTGTAAATCAAAGTAATCTCTTAATATTGGCCACGCTGAATATGGCAGACAAAAGGTAATAGGCAAATACTATATACGAAGGCCCAAAGGTAGCCAAACCATGTCCCGTGTGTGTAAGATTGTTTACAATTATTCTGCTTTTGCATTCATTAATGCCATGTACTAAAAAATGTTATTTTAGTGATAAGTTTAACATTTGAAACGCAGTTTAGGATGCTCTTCTTACTACTTTTTTTTAATGACAGGCCTTCCTAGTAGGGCAATATTCCACATTATAAGCATAGATGATGTTTCAACTGCTTGTTTAACACGTTTTACCTTGCCTTTCTCATTAAAAAGGTGACTTACATCATGAAGAGTCAGTATTTGAAAGCTAAAAACAGTAAGTATCCAAATATTTTTAAAAGACTGAGATAAATGCAATACTAAAAACGACAAAAAACATCAACACCAAAAACATATTCAAAGCAACAAGGTCCAACACTCTTTATTGTGTCATAAAGGGAAAGCTGGCCTGTAGAGAAAGATCTTTCCCTGCTTGTGGAAGGACAGCCTGGCCTCCTGTGGGAGGGAGTTCCAAAGTCTAGGAGTAGCAACAGAGAAGGCCCTCTCCTGTGTCCCCACCAAATGCACCTGTGAAGGCGGTGAGACTGAGAGAAAGGTCTCTCTTGATGATCTTAACACCCAGGGAGGCTCATAATAATAAAATGCTATGGGGGGGGGTGAAGAGCAGGATTTTGACCTCCCTCTATTCCTGAATCAACACTCCCCACTTTACAGAGATGGCCACAACAGTGTATCAACTGTAACAGTTCACAAAAAATATTGTTAAGTGTAATGACAAGACTGCTGCAATTGTCTTTTAAGACTTACCAGATTAGATTCCAATTTACACACAAGAACCAATTAAAACACTATATAATGTGCAAGAAATCTTACCTGCTGTTGTATATTTCATTCTTTTACAAACAATAGGGGGCTCTGGTTTCTTAGCACTCAGCTTGGGAATCAGGAATTCAGCCGCTCCTGCATCGAAAAAAGTATTCCCAATTGCTCTGTCTTTGATGGCCCAAATTACTTCACAGCCTGCGACTTCATACCTGAAAAAAGGTTTTGAAAAGTGACCTTGCTCCATCTCCATTCTCAGGCTCTGAAGATACAATGCACAAATCAGCTAAGGGAAATGGTTTGCCCTTAACCCTCCTGCTGGTTTACAATCAGTCCCACCTTTTCTCCTTTGCTGGTTTGTACTGCTTGCAAAACAAGGAAAACTTTACTTACACCAATTCCAGTGCAATGCCGCCATTTCCGATAATGGTTATTCTTTTAGCTTTTGCCAAACATTTCTGAAATTCCTGTGTTTGACAGAAAAAGAAGGATCATCGTAGCCACTTGGACTTTTAACAATACACAAAAATACCACTTTCTCAAGCCATCTTTCTGTCCATGTCTTACATTTTATCCACAACCTTGCAACCTTTATAAACATGGCTGTGGAAGTCAATGTCTAGATACACACCAGCAGGCTGGTAAGAAACCCTTTCTCTTTCCTGCAGACCTCCGAGGGTATGATCCCAGCTCACACTTCGTATTATGATTATGGGATTGTACTTTGGTTTTAGTTTTCAAAGAAGTCATTATCTATTTGTGCTAGTTCAGAGAAATTCACAGGCCTAATTTCCTAAGATGTTTAATGCTGTTTCCAAGGGATATAACTAGACAGCCATCGACCTAATCTTGCAGTAACAAATTCCCTAGATCCTGCATTTTGTGAAGGAATACTTTCTTTAGTCTGTTACGAGACACCTGTCACTTCAAATAAATGTGAATATCGGGAATAGACAGGAGCGTCTTTCCTCACTACAATCATAATTTTACAAAATTCTACCCTGCTCCCCCAGTCATATTTTTCTCCTCTCACAATACAGTGGTGCCTCGCTAGACGATTACCTCGCAAAATGGTTTATTCGCAAGACGATGAGTTTTTGCAATTGCTATAGTGCTTTGCAACACGGTTTTCCCTATGGGCGATTTTTGCTGGACAATGTTTCAGTCCATGCGTCGCAAGACGGGACCGTTTTTCGCAAGACGATTTTGACAGTTAGGTCTGCGACTTGCAAAAAAAATTTTTAGGGACCGATTTTCGCAAGACAGCAATTGTGACAGCTGGTCCACGCTTCGCAAAACGGTTTCTCTATGGGCGATTTTTGCAAGACAATGACTATTTTCCCCACTGGAACGCATTAAATGGATTTCAATGCATTCCAATGGGGAACCGCATTTCGCAAGATGATGTTTTCACAAAACAGCGATTTTCACGGAACAAAGTAACATTGTCTTGTGAGGCACCACTGTACCTGCCCCAAACCAGTTCAACCTATTGTCAGAGGAAACGGGTGTTCCGGTTCCATCAAGGTTTTCGCTGCCATTCTCTACACCATTTCTAACAGCTCTCCAGAAATCAAAGCTATACACAGCAGATCCAAAATCATGCTCTCCGTGGTTCACAACCACACTTGATCGTGTTCTCAACTAGGAAACAGATGTTAACAGACACTGGGAAGCATGTAGGCACACAGTTTTACCGCAGCGCTGTCTGTATCTCGAATTCCCAGCACAAATGGGTTTCCTTCTGTTATCAGTTTTGGCTTTGCTCCAGCACACAGACAAAGCTTTTCATAGATGTACTCCTTGCCAGCTTCAGTGATTATTTTCTGTAAGGAGATTTAAAATGAAAATGGCACATAACAACAGGGAAGCATATATTGACTGAAGCACGCTGGACATACATTTTCACTGTGCTCCACAAAGGTTCAACTGTTGCTTCCCATCTAAGGTACAGTGGGACCACTGTATCTATGGGATCAGTATCCATGGTTTCACTTATTCACAGTCCCAAAATATTAAACACATTAAAAGGAAAAAATCCAGAAAAAAACAAACACTATTTTCATATGTATTACTAGAGGGAGGCAGAGACCATGTCAAGAATACTTATCAGTGAAGAATACATAACATGGTCTCTGGCCCCCTATAGTGGCCAGTTCTGGTAACACATGTTAAAAAATTTATTTCATCATGCTATAGTGATTGCTATTATCCACAGTTTTCAGTATCCGCAGTGGGATTTGGAACCAGTCTGCAGTGCATATGGGGTCCTACTGTACCTCACAGTAGTCTTCTCCAAGCTTTTGTTTTCTAGATATTGGGGGCTACACCTCCCAACATTCTTAACCATTAGCCACACTGGGTGGAACCCATGGAAGGTGAAATGCAAAACATCTCAATGACATCAGATAAGCAAAGGCCACTTTGTATCATTTCTCTCTAGAAATTCACAACCAGTCTAGCCATTGTTAAACGCCTAACTTTCGTGAAGGTGTCCCCATGTTTTCTGGTTTCTAGCTCAGGTGTCCATCTATGCTACTGCAGGAGCAATCACTATAAGAAGGACCAGGCTATCTGTTTATATGAGAAATGCTTTAATGTGATGCATGAATTGTTACAATCATTTCCTCTTGGTGGCAGTCGGGGACTTGGTGAAAACTTTAAGAAAACTATTGGGTTGCACTGGACTTCTGGGTGCTCAAATATTACAATAAAATGAATTTTCCTTCTAATTCAAGTGTCACTTTAGTTTAAAGATCAAGGAGAAGAGCTAGCTATTCTTAATTAAGATTTTTCAGACATAATCAAAACCTCATCTGAATATAGCATCTCTTAAACCTTTATCTCCCCCAACCTTAGCCTCACAGGGAAGTGAGAAGATTTAGCTAGTGAGCACAAGGGGAGCTTTTTCCATTAAAAACCAATTTGTAAAAAACAAAACAAAACAAAAACACCCGGTGTGGTAGTAGGATTAGATGTTGCCCTGCAGGGGGTGGACATGTGCATCTCTCAGGTTGCCAACCCCCAGCTTGGTGTGACATACAGAGGCCTTTGTCTTGCTCCCACCACCTTCACAGGTGTGTCTGGTGGGGATACAGGAGAAGGCCTTCTCTGTGGCTGCACCCAGACTGTGGAACTCCATCCCATTGGAGGCCAGACTGGCCCCATCTTGGCTGTCTTTCCGCAAGCAGGAAAATACCTTTTTCTTCAGACAAGCCTTCCCTCAGTGACTGGCTGCCTGAATAGGGTTTTCAAATGGGTGGTTGTGCCTTCCCACTTTGAAAGGATTTTTGGTGTTGCTTTTGTTTACCACCTTTTAGTGTGGTATTTGTGTGATCCTTTTTAGTATTGTATACTTACTGTTTTTACCTATAAATATTGTCTTTAATGTCTTTTAATGATAAATATTTTTAATTATATAAGCCCCCTTGGGTTCTTTTTAAGAAGTATGGAAGGATAAAAATGTATTTTAAAAATATTATAAATAAAATAAAATAAAATAAATATACACTGCTGTGTTAATAAACATTGCAGTAAACAATGAGAGACAATTGTCCAGCACTATATTTGACCAGCCTCCAACCACGGACTCAACCATCAAATACCAAAAGGAATTACAGAACCTCATGAAAGAGCGCCCTGGAAACAATGTTACTAAGGTATTAGCTGCTTTTACCCTGATTTGCGTGAGTGCTCAGGTTTTTTTCCCCTCCCCCTCCTCCGATCACAATCTACTCACGCACCAATACACCAGTTAAACGTAATCAAAGCCATGGTATTAACCAACAACTTAGAAGACTGAGTATTATATAAACTTCAAAACAACATGAAGTGAGAGATTGGGATACAAATCATTAGACTACAGAACTGATTCATGCGTATTCATGGCACAATGGTTAGACTCCTACTGCAGTCAAGACTTGTTTATTTATTTATTTAAAATATTTTTACCCTACCTTTCTCCTTAAATAAGGGCCCAAAGCAACTTACATCATTAAATGGCAATATATAAAACTAAACTGTGAGTATACAAATACTAAAAAGGATCAAATAAATACTGTACTAGAAGATGGTGCACAGAAGCAACACCAAAACACAGTCAAAGTAGTAAAGCATAACAATTCATGTAAAAATGCCACTCAGGCAGCCAGTCCCTGAAGGAAACTTGCCTGAAGACCAAGGTCTTTGCCTGCTTGCAGAAGGACAGCAGAGATGGAGCCAGCCTGGCCTCCTGTGGGAGGGTGTTCCAAAGTCTGGGAGCAGCTCATTGAGCAATCCAGCCAGCACCCACATGTACTAGGAGGTAGGAAATACCCCTGGCCAAAGTGATACCAAAAGAACAGTGCCCTCCCAGAAAATGTCAGGAGCTGGATCTGGCCTTAATTGTTATATTCATTGTTCTCTCCCCGCCATGTTCAACGCTATTTGGAATGTTCATTGTAATGCCCCACATCGAGCAGATGGAGCCACACATCAAATGATACAACGCTCTCCTTCATGGCCTCCCACAGATTGCTATGTGCTAAGACACCCCAGTTATTGTGATCCAGCCAAACAACCAGCAGGAATCACTGCTTCACTCATTTTACCAGCTCTGCTCAACATTCTGGAAACTGATAACAAAGGGAATATTTATTCAGTAGTTATTGTTATATTCCATCTTTCCTCCCAACAGGTCAAGGTGGCTCTCTTTCTTTATTATCACAACAGTCCTAAAAGGTTGGGAGGGAACGGCCCAGTGGGGACTAGAACCTCTTAAGCCCTAGTCCCAACAGACTACGGGTTATACCACCATCACTCTCTTGGTCTGGAATTTGCCTTAATTTAGCCCGTGGCTCACTAGGGAAGCCTTGTCTAAGGAGCATCAGTAGCCATGACTTCAAGGATTCTGCGCCATGAGATATACCAGACATGGGTGCAGCCACCTGCCCTGGGGCAGAATTAAATTACACTGACCTGCCTGAAGTTCACAACCGCTTTGATAACAGGCGATGCCGTAATTAATAGAATATCATCCGAGGGAAACTCTGCGGCCAGCTTGTAAAAGACAGGAAAACAGAGATTAATTTTCAGTAGCACTTTCCATTACACTACCCACAAGCCCACGTTCTTCTAGACGCTCATGCAGCTGTTTAGCTTGGTCTGCTTTTCCTCCACCTAGACTTGTTGTTATTTAGTTGTTAAGTCGCGTCCGACTCTTCGTGACCCCATGGACCAGAGCACGCCAGGCCTTCCTGTCTTCCACTGCCTCCCAGAGTTGGGTCAAAGTCATGCTGGTGGCTTCGATGACACTGTCCAACCATCTCATCCTCTGTCGTCCCCTTCTCCTCTTGCCTTTGCACTTCCCCAACATCAGGGTCTTTTCCAAGGAGTCTTCTCTTCTCATGAGATAGCCAAAGTATTGGAGCCTCAGCTTCAGGATCTGTCCTTCCAGTGAGCGCACTCAGGGTTGATTTCCTTCAGAATGGATAGGTTTGTTCTCCTTGCAATCCAGGGGACTCTCAAGAGTCTCCTCCAGCACCACAATTCAAAAGGATTAATTCCACCTAGCTAGCATTATATAAATTACAATGAAGAAAGAGGTTCCATTCAACCAGGAATAATTTTTCATATCATCCTATTTAAAAATGGCAAATCCATATTGTGCAGTTCAGTGGACCAACTGATACGACTGTGAATTCTTAAGATAACGCGTACACTTCCGATGAGATTCGTACTCAATACATAATTACGTCCAAATCAGATGTCATGTTGTTATAAAGCTGGCTAGATAGCTTAGTGATTTAGGCATCTGGCTGTGGAGTCAGGTTGGGAGTTCAATGCTGGAGTTGTAAGATGATGATGATCATGAAAGACAGGAACTCATATTTTCTGTAACTCAGGCCAAATTTAAATGTGAAAAATTCTATGGGTTTTGTTTCTAAACAAACCCAAAGCCCACACAGTCCATTTTGAAGGAGACTCCAGACAAACAAGCGTGGCCTCCAACAACCCTGCAAGGTAGTCCTCTAACGATCCTTGTTTGAAATCCCAAACTTAAGCCTTGCCCCCTTTCAAACAGCCCAGCCCCTGGTTTACACCCAGGTAAACTGCAACAACACCCTCCCCCAAAAAATCAGGCCAAGTCCAGCACTCAGTTCCACATATCAGTCATTGACTTTAACACAAACACAACGGGGGTTTAAAAAAAAAAAAATTAGGAAAGGCAAGAATTTGCATAAAAAAAGGAATTGGGGGATCAGAAAAATAAATCAGAAATGACTTCCTTGCTTGCTATACTATGCCAGGAATTGTGGGCACTACAATGACAACTAGACTAAAAGAGGGCGTCTTGTTTTCAAACCGCCTATTGCTTTTTAGTTTTTACTTTGTTGTTCGTTGATGTTACTAGTTGAGGTCCAATTTTGTGTTTGATTGTTCTTGTGTCCACTGTTTTTTTCTTATTGTTTGTCTGTTTTTTTTGTTTTTTTAAAAAAGTTTTAAAGCGCCCTGAGAGGCTCTGGCAGCCAAATGGGCAGAATAAAAGTCAGTCAGTCAGTCAGTCAGTCAGTCAAATAAATAAATAAATAAATAAATAAAAAGTAGTCCAACTACCCTAAATATTTCTCCACAGTTTCTTGGGGGGGGAAGGGGGGGAGAAGAGATGGGCAATCCAAAATTATCTCGGAGGCTCCTTACGTAAGTACGCCTCTCCATTTTATAAGTCTATGCACCAACCAGGAAGTTCCCGGCCTCAGATAACAGAACTGAGAACCTAAGAGCAGGCGGGGGGGGGGGGAGAGGGGGAGGGGACGCCGGAGAAAACCGGGCACGAACCCGCCGCCATGACCGCTTCATGAGTCTGCGACGCTTCCGTCACTCTCACCAGCTCGAACTACGTCCTCCTGTGACGTCAGGGGTCCCGGCTACGGAGCGCCGTGAAGTTCATGTTACTTCATTGCGCTTTTCTGATTTTACTCATCTGAAGGCGCGTCTCCCGGATAGTACAAGTGACTCTCTGCTGCCCCCCCTGGTCGCCAGAAATTAACATCAGAATTAAGGAGCTCCGTTTGGATTCAGCTGCGGAGTTAGAGGTTGCGCGTTCGATTCCCCGCTTCCGAGAGACAAGC